GAATGGGGGCCGGCCCGTGGCTCACTCGGGAGAGTGCGGTGCTGATAACACCAAGGCCCCGGGTTCGGATCCCATATAGGGATGGCCGGTTAGCTCACTGGGTGAGCGTGGTGCTGACAACACCAAGTCAAGGGTTAATATCCCCTTACCGGTCATATTTCAAAAAAAAAAATTTACTGAATGAAGCTCAGGAAATGAAGTGAGATCTCAAAGAACAAACCCTCTGAAAAAATGTTCCCCACAAAGATGACCTAGGCACTAAAGGCATAGGACATTTTCTACCATCTGCAGCTAGGTCAGTGTCAGTACTACACTGATAAGGAGTTAGTATTATCTCAGGCATATATGGCAGCACCATATGGTAAAAAAATCTAGGGCTCAAACAACCTGCTCATCTAAGTATAGGTAAAGCCACTATGAGAAGAGCAAGCGTTTATTATGGAGGCTGAAGAGTTTAGAAAAAGTCAGCATAAAGTATCTGATGGGCAAAGAATGTCCTGACGGATTCTTGACTACGATGGACTACATCTTCTCATATTGACTTCATGAGTCCCATAATTATTTATTTCTCCTCTGATAAAGTTTCCAGCGATACAACACATTACTCAACTACTTAATCATTAAAAGCATATCAGTTTCATTATTTATAATCACAATCTATATAAAAAGGTTCACAGGTTTATTGTCAGAATCATAAACCGTGTATAACATACTTGATAAATGCCCAAAACACAGTAAGCATTCAACAAATGCATGATAATTATAACACAGTCTTCTATATTAAAATGATTTTTAACAATATAAACAAAGATTTGAAAAAAGTAAAAGTTGTATTATATATTTTATATCCCACCTTACTATATTTTTCCATTTTCTTAAACTGATATATCAAACTTAACTATAGCTTTAATCCTGATTAATAATGAGATCAGATAAATTATATTATGAAGTGTCAATTTCTTAATTTTAAACCTGTTAGTAAGTCATTCTTAGTAGATAAACAATTTTGTTTATAGAGCTATCCTACTTTAAAAAAACTTAACTATGAAAAATTCTAATTTACAAAATGAATGTTTGGGAATGCTTCACTTTACAAGTGAATTTACCATAGTATTATTTTAAACATTCATTTACAAATCTTTCTGGACTAGGAGAAGCAGAAACTCAGTTAAAACGTTAGAAGCCAATGCATCAGAAAGAAAGATAAAGCAACTCCAAAATAACAATGTAAGCAACAGAGAAGATTTAATTTAGAAAAATTCAACCAATGTACAACTTTTCAGAAAAATAACTACAAATTTCCTTAATGATGATTTTAATTCATATGAGTAGACTAAAATGATGATCCATCCAGCCAAAGCAAATATCTAAAGCACCCAAAATGCACCTTGTTCATGTCTCTGGGTCCCTGAGAATGTTCTCCCTGCTTGTATAACCATCCTTTGTGCTGTCTGTCCAGCACTCTTCTCATACTTAATATGACAGTTCATGTATTATCATCTTCAGATTCCCTTGGCTATTCTGTATTCCCTCTACAGCAACACAGTATAAATCTCTAACTAAGGAATGTACACAGTGGTAACACAAAGATGAAGTAATCTACTGTCCTTTGCTGCATCAGAAGATACCTCACAGGTGTGGTATGGATGACTGGGAATTTGAAAGAGGAATGAGAAAGTAAGAGAAGAGAATTAGAATTCTGCAATGGCAATGGTATAAGAAAAAGCGGGGGGGGGGGGGATGGGAAGGACTGAGAACAGCCAGAGATGAGGCTTAGAAGGGGGAGAATTAATAACTATGATTACTTTAACATTGTCTTACTAATTTTTGAATCTCTAGTGCCTAGCACTAGGCCTAGTATACAACAGTGGGGGGGGGGGTGATGGGAAGGACTGAGAACAGCCAGAGATGAGGCTTAGAAGGGGGAGAATTAATAACTATGATTACTTTAACATTGTCTTACTAATTTTTGAATCTCTAGTGCCTAGCACTAGGCCTAGTATACAACAGTACATCAATAAGTGTTTACTGAATAAATTTACTAACTCAAAAAAGAACAAATCATAAGTAAAAAACTTTCATAGGAAAAGTATTTCTTAAAATTTCTTTTCTTCAGGTCAATATGTATAAAATAGAAGAGTAATGTAATTATTTTCAAACTAATTAAAAAATACCATGACACCTCAGACAACTAATTTTGTTCATTAAAACAGCTAAGATATAGAAATAAGGTTTATGTTGCATAAAATTTTATTACAAATATGAATATATAAAGCAACTTTTATTTAGTCCCATATAAAACAAAAATTCTTTAACCAGATGCAATGGTGTGTAGACTTTTTTTGTGTCATGGACATCTTTGACGGCCTAATGAAGCCTCCTCCGAATAATGTACGTAAACACATAAAATAAAATTCACAGTATAAAAAAAGACAAAAAAAATCATAAGATTACAAAGAAAACCAATTACATTAAAATTCAATTCTAACCACAGACCACAGTTCTAATCATGGCCCATCACTTTAAGAACTCCTGATAGAAGATATGAGTTACCTTGGAAAAGCATAGAACAGATTTTTTTTTTTGCCTGAATATTCTATATATGTAGTATCTATAGTATTTCTATTATTAACAAAAACATCATAATAATTTGCCAAGATTACAATATTATGTAAAGTTTAAATAACCTTTGAGGATTTTATTTGTGGTAGAATATATTGCATCCATTTCTGGTTCCTACTATATGTATACACTGTAATGCAAATTTTTCTGAAATCATTTCATCAGTTCAAAATTAGTAATAATATACTAATGCTACATTTGTATAATTAATTTCTACCTAGCTCTTCAAAGATAACATAAATTAACACACTTCCTTCCTTAAAACGAGAGTTCATGAGCAAGAGTAGGCTAAATTGACAATTTTGGGGCCCTAGCATACTGTGTTCAAAATGCTTCTAGATGTAATACATATAAATACCTAGCTTTCTGTAGGTCATCTTTAAGGTCTATAACTAAGAAACACCTATATTTAAAGCTGCCAAATAACAAAATCTGCTAGGTATTTTAGCAACTAAATTTCGTTGTAGGACAGCTTAATCTACCACGTTCCAGAGTTCAAATAGGTTTTTGGAAAGTTGTAGGGTAAAGCAACGTCCCCTCTAGCCCAGTAGGAGAGTGAGTTTCAAACAGTTCCAGCAGGGAAAATAACTCTGATTTTGACTTTCGAAAGTGTACATCACCCTAAGATAGATAAAAATTTTCATATTTTAACTTTGTCTTGCTATAACAAATTCTAAACCATATGATACCAAATTGTATTTCTTGATACTACACAGTTTAAAATAAACATTTATTTGACACAAAACAATATAAAAGATCTTGAATCACAATACATACTGAAATGGTAAGAGTATTGTGATTTCTTTTTAAGGAAAAGAATAAACTAGGTGGAAAAGTGGGTTTCCTCATTAAAACAGCTATCTTTTAAAAAACTTTTTACGTCTTTTAGAGAAAATAATAATGTTAACAAATTGATTGTCAGGTTAAGTTGCAAGAATTATATAAAATCTCATACATTTACAAAAAAATTATTTTTAAATTCATAGAGAAAAGGAAAGGCCTGTGCTTAGTCTCTTATTTTTTACAGTTTAGGGAAAAACATACACATAACTACCAGTTAGTCTGATTTATGAGCAAATTTAAATAGCTTTCATAGTTTATCACCAGTAATCATGAACCTAGACAATATGTCCAAAGGAGTTCACTTTAAAAGCCTCTAAAATATAAAACAAAAACCTTGTTTTTCAGACTATAATTAACTCCTACCTACAGTAAGTTTGTCTAACTGTAACTCTTATGACAACAGCAGATAAATCACGTATTAACTTTTTGCAGAATAAGTTTTGTTCGTTTTTGCTGTTTTTCATTTCTCTTTAACAGGATGAAGGGTCTTTGCCTAGACCATCATCATGCAACTGAAAAGAACTGAAAATAAAACTGATTAACAAGTGTCAATTTAACCAAAAGTTCATTTCGACCAGAATTTTGTGTTAGCATTGCTACTCCTTTTAACTAGTGAAAAATAGCAGAGCTTGTCTTTAAAGAACGAACTAAAAGCCAATCACACCGCAATCACAAAGAACTTCCTAAGTTTACTGTTAAATGTACCTTAAAAATGGCCTTGAAAATTCCTCACAGAAATGTATATATTTTTGTCCAGTTAAGGAAATATTCAGAAAACTTTGCTGTCTAGCAGAAAAGGCCTTGCAGTATATTTTGCCAGCATTAATCATACTTTGCATCAAAGAAAACCTTGTAGCGGGATAACAAAACCTCAGAACGTGCTCAGATTGCAGGTTTCAGAAACCCTCCCTATTACACCTGTGCAAGTACTTCCTGTTCTCCAACGCTGTTTGAGTAGTTTAGTAAATACCCCATAGGCCATCATTTAGAAGCTAAATATTAACTTGATACATCACTACTACCACCGAGAAACCACCAACCCCACGATTCCCACGAATCCAGTCATCTCTCTTCTCCAAGAAGGAAACATAACCATCCCTGGACCCCTATAAAAAACCTGTACTCGGGAGAGGCAGGAGCCAGGTAAGTGTAATATTCATAACCCCAGTGCACGAAGCAATCCAGCGGGACTCCAGATTCTGCCCCATCCCCGCCCTCAAACACAGCAGCAATAACAACTACGACCCAGTAAATGCAGCACCTCCTTCCTCCTCGCGCGCGCCTTCAGCCCGACCAAAGGCATCTCTGCCGGGGCAGGGAGCCGGCGGGACCGGCGCGGGAGGCTGCGTGACCTCGGGAGCCTGAACCGCCCGGCTAAGAGCCTAGAGTTTGCCCGGAGGGCTAGTGGGCTGAGGAGGGCGTGAGGCTGCGCGGGGAGAGACTAGGTCTAAGGCTGGAATGAGAGTGTCCCAGTAAGGCCTGTGGGGGTCTCAGGTCATCGGATCTCCATTCATGGACTGGCTTTGGAGACTTACCTTGAGCTCTACCCTGCTAGCCCGCGGAGCATACGGTCCAGGCAGAGAAATGCGGACGTTCCACTCCCACAGAGCTACCTCCCGCTGGCACCGCTCCGCCTCACGCCGACACCCGACAGACACAGCAACAGCTGCCACAGTACCCAGACTGCCAGGGAACTGGAGCACAGGCGGCTGGTCCCCGCCGCCCAGAGCCCGACCCTGAGCGCGGAGCATGCGCACACGCCCCAATACCCAGAGGCCAGTCAGGGCAGTGACACCTGCGATCAACAGGTCCCAGGAGCCCCGCCCCTCTCTCCTCCTCGAGCCCGCCCCGCTCCCTCAGGGCCGGCCCCGCCTTCACGCTCTCCGAGCTAACCCCGCCCCCGCACGCGATTTCCCGGCTTTCCGGACCTGTGTAACTCTATTCCCGCGGGGATTCGATGGGGCGAGTGATCCAGTTGGCTTAGTCCAAGGCGCGAGATCCCGCGAGAGCAGAAGCTTGACCATTTCCACCAAGGCGGGAGTACTGTACTGTACTGGGGCTTGGTTGTCGGGCGGGGGAAAGGTGGCAGGAGTTTGAGCTGTCTGGTGTAGCGAGCAGGAGGGGCTAGTTCCTGAAGCCGAGGTGATTATTCCGGTGCTCTTGGTCGTTTATTCTGTGTTTTCTGAACTTGAGAAAGCGGGTCCAGCGAGGTTAGGTGGTGTTACCTGAGAGAGAGAAAACAGTCGTCGGCTGCTTGGCATCAAAACCCCGTGTGGCTACGCAGTTCCTTTAGCTTTGTGTGAGTCATGACCAGCTGTTTGCAGTTAAATGGCTTCCATTGGCTTGAATGTGTATATTCCCCAACTGGTTGTTTCGTGACCATTAATAAAATGAAAGCTTTAATAAGCGTGTTGACCCGGTTAATATTTAATTGTCAGAAAAGTTTGGCTGCCTCCTTACCGTGCTTTGGAACAGGTTTTAAGATACAAGGTACTGCTGGGAATTAGACTAACCTTTGTTTTTTTAAAAAAACGTTTTGTTTGGAGTAGTAGTAAAAGAAAAACCCACCGCTGTCATTGTTTCAAAGATTTCTCCCAAGGAGATTAATGAGGTTGTGGAACTCATTCCAAAGCCGGTGCACGTAGAACATACTGATTATAAAAATGGATTTCAGTAAACTGATAGGTAACTCCCAAAGTTTATTTGAAGAAATAGGATGAAAAAACATTGGGAGGTTGATAGGGGCGACAAATACGACCGGTTTATAGTGCTTGAGACTGAATCAGATAGAATTTATTGAACATTTACTATGTTCTCTTTACTGAATTAGTCGCTGAAGGGAATCCAGAGAAATTATTCTGTGGTTCCTAACTTCAAGATATTAAAAGTCTTGGGGGGGGGCTGCTCTACATTTTTAAAACAACGAGAACACCATTAACTCTCCCCTTGGTTTCCTTAATGCCATTTCCTCCTGGTTCTGCAGCTGCCTCTCTGGTGCACTTCAGATATTTTTCTTCCTCCATGTTCCTCAGCACTCCATTTTCTTTTGTTGTATTTGTCGTTTAATGTGACTCCTCATGTCTCCGTAAGCAATCTCTTCCCCATCACGGACTTACCAGGGGTCCTTTGCACAAAAGACTCTCAGATGTATATCTTCAGGACCCTTTTGAGCAACAGCACTTCTATTTGGTTTTCTCATAGGTGCCTTAAATATGTCCCAAATTGGCGTGGGCATCTTTACCTTAATTTTTACTCCAGATGTCATGTCTCTCCCCTCCCATCTAGAGCCTAGGTCATTTCCGTTCCCTGTTTCAGATATTGGCACCCAGTTGCCCAAGTGAGAAATTCATGAGTAACCCTATGTTACTTTTCTTTAATTTCTTCTATGCTAACAACAAATTTAGTTGACCTTTATCTCCTGAGTATATCTCAAATCCACCCCTCTTTTTAATCTCCACTCTCACTGTCTTTCTTCTTCAGGTAATCATTTCTTCTTGACTCAACTCCCTTGGACTCTTGCAATATCTGCATAATATCCTCTAGTTATTTTTCACTCCAGTCCAATCTCCGTTCTATTAGTGATTATTCTAACATGAATATATGATCATGGTACTCCAATACTAAGAATTTTTCAGGGGCTCCCCATCACCAGCAGGGATCTTCATGATTTGGCCTTAAACTGATAACCTCATCTGCCATTCTTCCTCCACTTACTCCACACTAGTCATTCAAAATTCCTTGCTATTGTGTGATCCTGCCAGCTTCCCTCAAGATCTTTCTGGTCTGAGTTGAATACTTATCTCCTCATGTATTCTCCCATAACTTTCTGAAACAGACTTGTCCTTCCTTCACCCATTTGGGATTTATTTCAATTACAACAATTATGTTATATTATAATTATTTCTGTGCAAATATAACTGATAGAGCAACCCCCACCTCCACTCTTGAGAAAGAACTTGAACTGTGGATAAGAAAGATTTATACTACCTCCTTTTCTCATTTAAGAAATTACAGAAGAATGCCTTTCAGTTCACCCTGCTCAAGAATTTGAGTAAACCCTGACTGTACACTTTTTTAATCATATAAATTTAAACTTTCTACTAGTTCTTGGTATATCTAAATACTGACCTTTAAATGATAGATTTGTCATAGGTCCCAATTTAAGCATCAAGAGGGCAGAGTCTGAAGCAAACAGATGATAAAAAGGAAAGTTGACATTTCACTGCATAACAGGACAAGAGTTGCTCCCAGAAAACTTTGTAGTTAGGAATGTCACAACATGGAGTTTAAATGTATTGCCTCTCAGAATTATTTGTCCTTCAGTGATATGTGTGCGTTTTATTAAACAGTTCCTTACTGGATGGACCCAAATTTATGAAGAATGATCTCTGTACTTCACACAGACAATGAGATCATGAAAGTGAGCAGGTTTAGAGTGCCAGAGATCACTGTGAGTTGTTCAGCTGCGGCCCAGCCAAAGTTTACACTACCAGCACCAGCACACCTATATACCTCTTAGTGTTATTCTGGATTTATTGTAACTCAGACTTGGGAAATGTACTACCCTGTGGCTAGGGTACACCCCACCACTGATCACTGGTAGGAGTGGCAACATTCTGTCTTAAGGAGCTGTGGTTCAGTACTTTCAGGAGGTAATCACTAGCTAAAGGTGTGGCAGACCATGATTGAGTTGGGTGGGGTGGAGTGAAATATAACACAGAGAAGTAGTAGCTGAATGGCTGACTCAGGATTGTATACTAGACAAAATCCTTTTTTCCTGTTAATGAGGAGTGCTGACATATATTTCCTTACTAACTAAGCCTCTAGAGAGCAGGAACCGTACATTTTTTTTTTTCATTGTATTTCTAGATCATAGCACAGTGCCTGGCACAGATGCTAAACAAATATGTGTTTAGTGGATGGAGTGAAAAATTGGGAGTTTTGTTAATTTTTTTTTTTTTTTTAAGAGAATAGAGACATCTGTGTGGGACAGAATTGTTGGAGAGGACTTCTGTGGGAGATCAAATAAGAGCTTCATTGAGGAAAAGATGTGACTTACAAAAGCAAAGTTTTAGAAACAGGAATGAATGAGCCAGTGCAGGGCTATCATTGGAAGCCTCTGTAAATTCTTGAACAGGATGATTAGTTTGAAGTAAGATACACAAGAATTATAGGGGAAACTATAGCTAGGCAAGAAGAGAAATCTTCAGACTTGGGGATGAACCAGCCAGCCACAAAAATCTAGTCACCACCGACCATTCTCCTCACACACATATCTCAATTTTTGTGACATCATCTTATGGCATTCCTCCTACCTCACTGGCTACCCCTTCTCAATCTACTTTTCTCTTGTACTTTTCAATCTAATCTAAATGATGACGTGGTCTTAGTGCCTGATCCCAAGATCTCATTTACCCTCAGGGTTTTAAATCCATTTCCCACACAGCAGCCAAAGTAGTCTATTTAAGATGTAGACATGTTACTTCCCAACTTAAAATTGTTCAGTGATTTACCATTTACATAGAATAAAATCCAAAATTCTTGCTAGGGCCCAACAGCATCTAATGCTATTCAAGACTTTGCATTCTTTATTCCCTATGCCTAGAAAAGTAGTTATTGTCGGGGTGGTTTTGTCTCCCATTGGACATTTGGCAATGGCTAGAAACATTTTTGGTTGTCACAGTTGGGGACATGGATGCTACTAAACATCCTACAATGGGCAAGACAAACCCCCCACAACAAAGAATTACCCAGCTCAAAATATCTAGTACCAAAGTTGAGAAACCCTGGCTTAGAACACATTTCCCCTGGGTCTCTAAGTAATTGATTCCTTTTCATTCTCTGTACCCCAGTTTTAACTTCACCTTCTTAGAAAAGCCATCCTTGACCTCAAACTCCCTGCTTATCCTTATCACGGTGCCCTGTTTATTCACCTCATATCATCACAACCTATGTTTTTTTCTTATCTATTTGCTTGCTTGTTTATTGTCTTTTTCACTATCTAAGAAGAAAATTCCATAAAGGGTACGTTTCTCTTGATCATCATTCTGTCTGTAAAGTCTGATACAGTCATTCTATCTGTAATGTCATTCTATCTCATACATCATTTTATTTGTAAATCTTAATCCGGTGGCATAGAGTAGGCATTGATAAAGACTTGTCAGCATCTGAACTAGTATCTACAATAGGTCACTCAATGGAAACTTGACAGCAAGACTTTATCTTTTTCTTTTTTTCTGTAAAATTAAAATATGCAGTCACTAAGAGCAGAATGAAGTCACCTGAAAAGAAGTTATTATGACCAACAGCGTCCTCTGGAAGGCTGCTGGTCTGCTGTCAGTACCCAGATGTGCTCCACGAATACCCTTTCATGCTGTACTCCAAGCTTGTCACAGTAGGAACCACAAGTAAATATTGTGACCAAATTAATTGTGAGGTGATAAAAGTTTTTCAGAAGGAAAGAAAATATATAAGGAAGAATAGTACCCCAAAAAGTGAGATAAAATTCTAATTTTTTTGGTAAAGTGATCTCCTACAGGTCTAGAAAACCTAATTTTTAAATATGTGTACATCCAAAAAATGTTGTTTCAAAAATATATGTGTCTGATCACTACATATTTCAGTTTTTTCAACTGAGAAAATATCTATTGTGGGCATATGTTGCTTTGTCTTTTCTTGCATCTAGGAATAGATG